TGCGTGTGTCGGCATTTTGTTAACGCACACATTCAAAATTTAAATGGCGAGTGCACGAAAGAGAGTAAAGTGTTTGCAACCATAATTGTAGGAGAAAAAGAGATGACACATTTTTCTCAGTACATAGGTAATAACAACAGATAAGTACAATGGCAGAAACACGATTTTTTAACTACTCGTTAGTGTGCGTGTGTCGGCATTTTGTTAACGCACACATTCAAAAACAATGCCACAGTTTTTGGTGACGGGGCTTATCTAACGATATAAATATATGTAAAAACCGTCACCTAAGACACGCCTGGTAGGCACTCTGCAGCGGCTTAGTCTTGAGTCGCATCCGAGCCAGTTGCGCTAACACTTCGTGGTCCCGCGGTGCGCTCGGACCGGATGCGCACGCGTTGGCGCACACGTACGCGAGTAGCTCCTGCGCCGCTCGCCACGTCTTGCCCGAATGCAGCCAGCCTTCTAAACGGGAGGCTGCTATCATTCGAATCTAAGGCAATGGCAATTTTTATTAGAGTAAACGAACGAATTTTATCATCACTGAAGAGACAATTGCAGTTCTTGGGTACTGAATAATTAGAGTTATATTGGGGGAGGGGGGTTTGGTCAATAATCTCCTTAAATTGCGTTACGTAATAGTGAACCCGAGTGTCTCCGTGTAGCAAAACATTTAAACATTGTATCAGTATCTAACTAAAGACGGGACGATTACTAGATTATTTAACATGGATATATTCAAAGATAAAATTATATTTTTCATTCACGCCCAACAATAAGATGAAAATACCTCGGGGAATCCACAAGTTGCAGACAAAAGTTTTAGGAAACCTTTTCCCATCGCATCGGGCGCGGCTCGCCTCTGTATCTGCTCCTTGATAGCCTCCAGCACGAGAGCCTCCACACTCTCATAGCTACTGGAATATCTGGAAGACGAACTGCTATTATAGGCATTCCTTAATTATTCATATAAATCCAAATTCAAAAAGGTATCAAAACAACTCTCAGCTGTTAGTTAAACAATTGCAGTCTTCTTCGCATAACGTTTTCTTATCATCTTCGATGACGGCGACGACGCGTCGCGTCGAACGAATGGATGGCAACAAATAAAACTCACGTTGCGAATCCTTTCGTCCAGGGCGAAACTAATCGCTCTTTCCTCTTGTAATGCATTAAAAAATATTTTCATAGATAAATTCGGTTTAATATCATATCTACGTAGTTTTTAGTATTCATACATATGGTCCCTTCACATATTAACTCTAGAAGCTATTTTTTCTTCACCTGTAACTCAACGCATGTAAATTTTGCAAGCGAGGAAGTAAAGGGAAATCTTGACGAAGTCAGCTCAAAAGCAAATAAAAAACACTACACATTTAAGATTTTTCAATTATACTTAACCATATATAACATTATTGTCAGTTTTGTCATACCATTTTGAACAAATAAACGGCTAGAATGATGTTTTAATTTATAATTTTTTTGTTTTTCTGTAATATCCTATGTCCGTCTCCTGGTATAAGTTACCGCCCCAACAATTTTCAGCCAAATCGATTCAGCCATTCTTGAGTTATAAATAGTTTAACTAGCACAACTTTCTGTTATATATATACAGGATGGCCAAAAAGTCGTGCATCAAACGCAAAAAGGGGATAGATTAGACCATCAGCTGCAAAAAAATTGTTCTACGGGAGGTATCTAAGCTCAACCCCTCCAAAGTACATTGACTTTTTCTACTAATTCTTATTAAAATTCGAATAAATCTACATCCTGTATCTTTTTCATAATAGTATTGAAGATAATATTAAGTTATACGATATAATTTTTTTTCAAATCATAAATTTTTCTTTTGGTACTTCGGACCCCACTGTGAAAAAAAATTACTCTACCGAAAAGTGACCCTGTATTACAAGTTTTGGCGCATTTAATAGGGATTCTGAAAAGGTAATACACATGGCCATGAGTCGCTCTAATATCTTTCTAATTTCTTCTTCTATCTATTATATTTAAGTTTGTTATGGAAGAGCTGGGAACCCTGACACAGGTATTTCTGACTTAAAAGGGTTCCCAAATCTTTCACATTGTAATGCATATCTACTTAAAATGAATAAAGACATTTTTATTTTTATTTATTTTTTTTATATATATATTCTATCTTCGCAATTTGCAGCTGATGACCGCATCTATCCCCTATTTGCGTTTGATCCACGACTTTTTGAACATCCTGTATAGATAGATATGATTAGACGTTTAGGGGAACACAAATATATTAATGCCGTCCGCAAAAACAAGGTCGTTTTTATGTCACAAAACTCTTTCAGCCAGCTAAAAGTAAACGTCATAAGCGTTGTTTGCTTAGTTTATGTATAGCATATTATTTATTTACCTGGGAAAGACGGTATACTCTAGCTCAGTGTTGTCCACATCATCTTCCGTACTCCCCATCAACGGCGAGCCGGACCCTGACGGGGACATTGTTCCTACAAGTAACCATATTTATAACAAAAGAATAGAATATTGAAAGGTTAATTTATATTTATAATCTACTGATATTGTATTCTCTATTAAATTTAATATACCATGCTATGCTATGATGGAATTGTTTTTACATTATCCTGTGAATATGCAAAAAGTAATTAGCGTAAACTCACCCAACGTACTCTCAGTGGGTATAAGATGTGAAGGCGGTTGTTTCGTGCTGAACGCCGTGACAATATTTTCCACCAGACATTTGCACCAGGTACAATCCACCCACCACCTCTCATTGAGAGCGTCATCCAGGTATACCTGTTAATCACACAATTAATTACATAATTTAATTGCTGTCGAAGTTGCCGTAATATAAACGAAATTACTTGAAAAGATAATTTTAAAAATATGGTACAAGTATTACATGTTTAATTGCGAGTGCACAACAACGGATCAAAATTGGTAAATACGCCGCTGGAACGCAGATGACTAACGTATCGAATTCACCGGTTCGGTGCACCTTTATATTACCATCGCAATCGATACGCGCATGCGATCTAGGAACAGTATATCCTAGGACAGCCTAATTACTGGGGTTGGTGCCTGGACGTAGCTCGTGACCTATTACATATATGTATTTATTGACGTAAGCCGACAAATGGCGGCACTTTAGCGTTATTAAACAAGGAAGTATATATTACACAGTCGATTCACGATAATTTGACATTCGTTAATTTCAATCTCTCCATAATTTTACTTTATTTGCGGTCATTCAATTACAGTCAAAATCTTTTATAACGACATTCTATGGTCTAGTCGTAAATGCTGGCTGATGCTACCAGCTATACTTGCAGCTATACTTTTTCGTGAAAAAATGGCCCGCCTAGGAGCCCCTTAACACAGTTAAAATTTTATGCAAATATGATACCAGTAATACATAGAGGATTTTGGTACAAATAATGATTTAATAATATGACAGAAAATTATTTTCTGTGTCAAATTATATGTAGCTTAAAATATAGTTTAAAACACATTTTTCTAATTATTATGTGAAAAGTTTGAATAAGGAAATATTTTCAACATATAAGACCTTTCAATAGCTAATCTTACCTTTATAAATGTATCTGGCCAGTTGTTACTATCTTTATGTCCTGCATACAGCATATTACAAGCTAAAACAAACACTAGCGGATTGCCTTTACTTTTAAATGCTGCTCCTTGTTCTCTCTTCAGCAATGTACAAAGTGTTTGTGTAACAGTCTCATGAGCAAACATATTGGGACGAATCTTTGTTAGATACAACATGCCCATACATAATATTGGATCAGGCTTCGATCGTTGGGACTTTAAGAGGCGAATGGAGCCTGTTAAAAGACCAAGCTGAAAAGACAATATGAATTAATATACTATCAAAAATAAGTTATTATTGTAGAGCTAGTATATTAAAATAAAATAATAATGATAATCCTATGAGCAAATCATATGTTTTTTTTAATATTTTACACTTGTGAATGTTCAAATCTACTTTCCACTATATCTCAAATATGTCATACTCACAAGTTTGTCTGAATTATGTGTATCAAGAGCTTGAAGTACATTAGGAACTAAGTCAACAGGATCTATCTCAAGTGAAGTTGTTGATACTGATTCTGCAGGAGAACCTATCCTTGATCTCTTACTTGGCGGTTGGCTCCCAAATCCTGTGCTGTCTCGTTTCCTTTCCACAACACCTAAATTAATATCAATTATGACTGTGTTTCAAAAGACTGCACCAGGCAGATAATCAAAAAGTACTTATAGCTTACCGCTAGTGGTAGGCTTATGTATGCTTCGTTTTTCGGAGTCGCGTGAAACTACCACAGTCGACTTGCTGCCTAACGCAAATATATCCTGAGGATGTTGTGGAGCCTTGCTTTTACCCCCACGACCGGCTGAAGACATTTTACCACGCTCCATTGTAGTAAGTACGTATTTTACTCCTTATATTCAAGTCACTTCACTTCACTTTATATTTTCTGATTATGTAAAAATAAACATGAATTTAACTAATAATAATATTACTTAGGATTAGAGATTGGATATAATAAATTATAAAACTTTATTTTGATTTTTATTCAAGTGCGAACCACAGACAAATTACAAATTACTAAATAGTGAACGTGACAACTATCAAGTTGCAGGCATTGACAGTTGGTTAGCTTGACAAATCACGCTGACTAAATAGAAAAGAAACAAATGTCCAAAGAAATTTGAGAGAAATGTGAGAGACTGACAGTGAATTGCCAAGTAGAAATATTTATTTATTCTGTGGAAACGAAGAAAAAAAGTCTTCTGAAGAATATATTTGTTTATTTACTATTTTCTAAACTTTGTTAAAAATAAAAATTCGTAATGTTATGTGGTGATCAAGAAATATTTTTCAAGTTGATTTAAATTGTGGTTTTGATCCATAATTTTTCCGTAACCACTACTATTATATTTCTTATGATGAACAGAAGTCGAGTAGTGATTTACTAGTGAGTTTATATAATATGATTGCGGTGGTTTTAATACAACTATTGTTGTTTGTAAGTGGGAGCAAATATGGTTTTATTATGTGGTCTGATAAGGCCGTTGTATCAGTGACCAACGATCTTAAATTGATTCCACCAATGCACGTCGCCAGGGCCACTTACACCAATGACGTTAACTCAACGGGGTACGTTTTGCTACTTTACCTTATACAAAACAACATTATTTAAGTAGTAAAACCTTCTAAAGTAAGATTGTTAAAAACAACATAAATTGCCATCACAATATCTGATTTTGTCAGAAAATAACTTTATACCAAAACAAACAATAAATAAAAACATTGAGTTTTTTTAAATTACCTTTATGGACATTCGCATACGTTTCCTCCTTCAAATATATTAAATAGATACAGCATACAATTCAAATAATTTTTAATGATTCATAGATATTTATTTTGCAACTCATGCTAAGCTCACCCTTAATGTAGATGGGCCTTCTTGGAATTACATACATCACCAGATGCCAGTGATGAGAAGCAAGCATATGCAGCGGGATTCCTGGAAGGATTTCTCACCAGAGACCTTATTTGGATGCACTGGCAAAATATGTTAAAAGGGTAACTTTATGGTTTTGTGATACAGTCCGTGTGTAGTCCAGTAAAGAAACTTGTCAAATGAAAACTAGGAATATTATCTATAAAAAAACTATTAAATACAGACTTTTACACCAAACTTACAGATATTGTTACAACAGAATAGATGTGTGTGGTCTGATAGAAGAATATGTGGACATAAATGAGCACTACATCGCTGACATGATTCATACCCACCCTAATGATCCATACTGGTACCATGTATGTTTATCAAAAATTAATAATTTTAAAATGCTATAAAGGAGATATCTGTTTGCCCTTTGTAGCCAAATGTGAGATAAATCTAATATTTCCTAAATCTTAAATTTATTTAATTAAATCTATATGCTAGTAATTATCTTAAAATATATTTTTTTTCTATTAAAGTAAGTAAGTCTAAGTTCTGTTTAATATTAGTGAGCTAAATAATTTAATTTATTTTTCTTAACCAGATAAAGCTATACAAGATACAACTGGAAGGTTTGGCTGCTGGCTACAATCAGGCAACTTCTGATTCTTATCAATGGCTGACTACACGTGATATACTGTGAGTATACAGAAACTAGTGCTGGATTTTTAATTTTTGAAGAAGTGGTTCCTTGAAGTATTATCAATGATTCCTTTTCCTGCTTATTAACAATTACATAACAAATTTGTTGAAATGTTTGAAGGAGATCATAAAAGGACAATTTTATGTACAATTTATATATAACATTTCAGATGGATTAATATGTTAGGTGACCTTGATGACCTGGCATTTGCGCTTACAATACCAAAGAACACTCCCGAGAGTCTGCTTTTTGGGGAACATTGTAGTGGGCTGGTCAAGCTATTACCGGATAATGCAGAACTTTTTACATCTCATGTAACCTGGAACAGGTATGTAATCAGCCGCTTTTGTTTTGTTCATTATATCATTATCTTGTCCTTCTAAATGATGATGTGCAAATATTGTATAAAACAACTGACAATGTCAGCTTTGGATTCCACCGTGTTCTACATTTATGATTGCAAAATTGTCAAACTTGGTTTGTTTACCTTATCCATCCAACATTTCTTTCCATATAACGACAATGAGCAGTCCCTTTAGCGTTTCTATTTAAGAAGTTTTTCAAACTTGACACCTTAATTGTACCGTGTTGCAGCTACCAATCAATGCTGCGATTTCAAAAGATGTACGTGCTTAGCTACCGAACATCCCCAAACAATGCGAAACCGATTCCCGGGAGGAAGATGGCCTTCACTTCTTACCCTGCTTTTGTTCAGGTAAGACTCTTCTAAACTATATAATTTTTTTTTAAATCTCCACACATTTTTAGACAGGTTTAATTTAGAACAGCAATTTTTAAACTATTTTGTAAACAAATATAGCCTATATGCTACATACTACCGATAATAGCATTCTCATGGTGAACGAATTTTAAAAATCTGCCCACTAATTCATGTTTGTACATACAAAATAAGAATATTTTCCCTTTACAATATGTGTAGATAAAAAATAGTATGTCAGTCAACAGATGACTGGTACATAACGTCTGCGGGTCTGGTGGCCGCAGAAACGACCATCGGGAACAGCAACAGGACGCTTTACGAGTACGTGCAGCCCACGGGACAGGTAACGCCCATTTCACTAAAGCCTAAAGCTACTATTCGTAAATAGCTTACATACTGCTTTTTTAAATAATTATTTGAAATTAATTATGACTATGTACATAGTACCTAATCTTTTCCGCGGGGAGGGTCTAGCGATCGCGTCACACAGTCTACATTACTATGTATTAGATCGAACTAGGCACGTTGCTGAGATCAATATTTTAATCTGACAAATATATAACTAGATTTGTCTGAAATAATCACAAACTGCCGATTCTATTAATTGCGCAACAAAAATTTTTTATTTAATGAACTTCAAACAAGTTTCGGAGAACAAATAATAATAATAATATTCTTTAGATATCCTTTTATCATATCCTCTAGATGTTTTTGAACAGAACAGAGATACCGATTAAAGTATTACAAAATTTAGATTATGGAATTCGTGCGAGCAATGGTGGCGACCAGATTGGCCACGAGTGGAGCTCACTGGGTCGACTTGTTCCGCAGGCACAACAGTGGGACTTACAACAACCAATGGTTTGGCTCTTGTTTGTCTATCGCTTTATATACAATGGGATCAACTCAATGATTATTAACTGTTTTCTGGCAAACGGCCTTTAAGCATCCTAGATTGTCTTCCCGGGCACTTTTTCAACATTATTGTATCGGCCAAGAATTTTACCTCGAAGCTTATAAATTTATATAATTTATAATAATAAATTTGTGAATGAAATAAGAGATCGTTATAAATCACTCGGGTGAATCGTCGAATTAAACATTATCTTTGTGTTATTACAGGTACATCGTCGACTATAAAAAGTTTAAGCGAAAAACGCAGAAATCCGAAGGGCAAGTTGAAGCTGGATTGTTGTGGGTAGTGGAACAACTGCCCGGCTTCACTGAGGCAGCCGACCTGTGAGTACTATCTCCTGTCTATCTACTGTTGTTAGTTGCAATATTAATATTTTTTCGTTTGCATAAGTGAATTTCAGCTATCGATTGCGCTATCAAAGTTATAATTGTTACGAAATATAAGATTCATAAATGATTTCATTTAACTCGAAAGAAGTATTTAAGGCAAAAAAGTAGCGTATTCAGATACGCTATTAGATTCATGACTTTCTATAGATGTTTTAGGTCCCTGTTTATATCTCTTTAATAGAACGGAAGAACTAAAGGCCACGTCGTACTTCCCGTCGTACAACATCGCATACTTCCCTCGGATGTTCAACCTCAGCGGCGGTAACGAGCGAATCGCTACCTTCGGCGACTGGTTCGCCTACGAGACGAACCCGCGAGCTAAGATCTTTCGTGAACAACAGGTCAATTTTATACGAAATTAAATATTTTTCGATTATCTTGATTTAATATCTACACGTACAAATCAAATATGCGCGACTGCCGTTTAAGTATTTGGTAATATTTTTGAAGTTTTAGGGGTCAATCGATTCGATGGGCAGTATGTTCCGCGTGATGCGATACAACGATTACCGCCACGACCCCCTGTCGCGGTGCGCGTGCAGCCCGCCCTACAGCGCCTGCAACGCCATTTCCGCCCGGAACGACCTCAATCCTGCTAATGGTACGTTCGCGTGGCTCTACCTCTTCATATACTCAAACACGTCTTAACATTCCGTTTTAATTGTGTGTGGTGATAAGGCTCATTTCCGTTCCGGGCGCTGGGTCACAGAAGCCACGGCGGCACCGACGCCAAGGTGACGAACTCGGAGATGGCCAAGAAGTACCTGTTCCTCAGCGTCTCGGGGCCCACTTACAACATTTCCCGGGGCATACCGCCTTTTCAGTTAGTATTACTGCGTTGCTACAACACTACTACATCTTCATTGTGTACATAAATAATACTTCTTTATAGGACTATTCTCATATATGCGTTATACTTTGTAGATGGAGTAAATTTGACATGGGCTCAGAGGTGTTTCACGAAGGCCACCCTGATGTTTGGACCTTCTCACCTCTTATTCATCATTGGGAGTGGGGCTGAATGTTTCAGCTGGTCAGTTAGTTAGCAAGGCAGTCTAAATAAGACAGGGTATAGTTACATTTCTTTCAGTGTTTTATAGACATAATAAAAATTATATAATTCTTTAGCATTCTGTATAAATGAAACTGAATGGTATATACATAGGCAATAAATGCCTAAATCCCTTGAGACCTTTCTTCACTTTTGGGTGCCGAACTATTTAGAAGTTAAAAGTGTATAATTTAATTACTGGAACTGTTGCCTATTACAAATATCTGATGTGAGTTCTGGATTAATAATTAATCAATTGGATAAATTTTTCACTTTAGTTGAAGATTTAGTATTACTTGAAAAATGCACAGAAAAAATTCTCTAAACTCAATTTAATTCAGGTAACAAAAACTAAGTTCTAAAAATAAAAGACTATTTGATAAGTTCATATTATTAATTAGATTACAAGGTATAAGTTTTATAAATATATGATTTACCATACCTAACTTTTATTTATTATATTCAATTATATACAAATCTAATGAGATTAGTTAGTCCTATATCAAACAAACTCATAATAATATTGATTCACAAATTCTGAAATTCAATGAATAAGTTTTTATTCTAATGACATGTTACTGTGTAAGAACTACTATTGTGAGCATGCATTTTGTGTAATATACATTACTTATAAATGGAAGTGAACCTGCATTTTGATTATGTTTACACTAATCCATTGACATAAGCAAACAGCTAATGAGTATTATAATCTTCTGAAGTTATATAGTTATATCCAGCCTTACTTCTAACAAACACCTAATCAAATATCGACTGTATACTAATCAGTTGTTTAAACAACTGAAACATCTTTTTACTTTACAACATGGAATGTCTCCATAACAATTTAAAACATCATTACTATAATTACTTCATATTACTCTAATGAGTTAAGCATAAGAAGTTGTTTTAATACTTTTGTTTGAGATGTTTCTCTGATTTCCCCTGCAAGGAACATCTCATCAACTACTGTGTATACCTAAAACAAAATATACAGATTATTAAAATTTCACCATGAAATAGCAAAAACATATGAGTATAAAATTAATTTAAGTTTAAGCAATTTTTTTATATGCTTTCTGCTTAATATTGCCATAACATGTAATTTTTTTTTTATGTTTAGTATATTTTATATTAATACTTTAGTATATTATAAATTAATTAAAGCTATACCTTGTAAAAGTTGAACACCAAATCTAATTCACACACATTGTGGAAGTATTCATTGAGAACTTCAACAAAATTATGGATAGCTTCCAAGTAACAAAGATTATTATCATTCACATCCACACATATACAGAAGTACAATCCAGCATATCTTCGGTACACAATTTTGAAGTTACGAAACTGAAAATAATTCCTGAATGAATTATACACGACATTTTGCAAGCATTTAAATTTTAAATATACATATGCTCTTTTTTTAATATAACAAAACTGTATCGTGTCTATTAAGTAAATATAAAATCAATATTTATAATAATAATTTCTAAATTGGTTTCGGCTTTTTAACATGTAAATGTAAACCTTAAAAATTTCTTGGGTATAAACATTATTAATTAAACTTCTAACAATATTTAGTATTTTTAAAACTTACCTCTACAAAGTTGGTGTGTTTTGCATCTCTAACGGTAACAACAGCATGAACTTCCTCTATGAGTTTCTGTTTTTCATCATCATCGAAATTCATGTACCACTTTGCCAGTCTCGTCTTACCCGCACGGTTTTGGATCAAAATAAATCGAATCTGTAATTAATGAACATTTATATTAGTAACAATAATTTATGACTAATCTTTTTATTGCAAAATAGTATACCATTTTAAATGAACACTCTTTTTCCTAGAATCACAATTTATATTTATCCGACACTCGACAGCAGCAGGTTACGCCTCCTAACTCTATCTTAGTGGATCTATCAAAAATCAAAAGTCAATCAATGACGCCACCACAGACTTGTATCACTTGTGGTTTTGAAGACATGGGACTAGCCCTAGTCCCCTGTTCCTGAACATGTTGTTGTCAATTATAAATATCAAATATATTTAAATTTCAAAAACTCAGAATATTAAATTAAAACCATATGGGTATTATCACGAATTTATATCTTATAACTAATACACACACTAAGAACTACACCGGAAATTAGTTTAACGTTAAAAATATTAACATCCAAAATTTTATATAATGGCAATAAAATATCGAACAGTTGTTCTCTCATAATTTGACAATGACATAAGACATTTTGGATTAGATTTTTTCAGTGTTTTTTTAACGTTGCTAATCTAACTCGTTTTCTTCAAGTTTTCTTCGATGTAGTTATTAGGTTTTCAATATGTCTCTAAAATAAGTAGATAAATAGGCTTAATATCTACTGGAATCGTAAATGACGCCCACAAAGACTACAACAACTGAAGTAGAAATGGTGATACGAAATAGAAAAACTGTTGTTAAAGACGGGATTATGACAATGTCTGGAATCGGCGAGCCTTCGGTTTTCCATGCGTTAGTAGTGATATTTTTGGAATTCTTCGCATGGGGATTGTTGACTATGCCGATAATATCAGTCCTAAATGCAACGTTCCCAGATCACACTTTTCTAATGAATGGACTTATCATGGGTATCAAAGGAATTTTGTCCTTTTTGTCAGCTCCTCTAATTGGCGCTTTATCTGACGTGTGGGGACGGAAGTTTTTCCTACTAGTAACAGTGTTCTTCACTTGTGCGCCAATTCCGTTGATGACATTAAATACTTGGTGGTTCTTTGCCATGATCAGCTTAAGTGGAGTATTTGCAGTAACCTTTTCGATCGTATTTGCTTATGTTGCTGATGTAACAACTGAAGAAGAGCGTTCACGAGCCTATGGATTGGTATCTGCAACTTTTGCAGCGAGCATGGTAATATCACCCGCACTTGGTGCTTATTTGATGGACTTATATGGCGAGGCACTTGTCGTCGTAGCAGCAACTGCAGTCGCCGTTCTGGACGTGTTTTTTATCATGGTGGCAGTTCCTGAGAGTCTCCCTGAGAAAGTAAGACCAAGTGGCTGGGGGCCTGCTATAAGCTGGGAGCAGGCTGACCCATTTGCTGCTCTAAGGAAAGTCGGCGCAGATCGCACTGTACTCATGTTGTGCGTAGCTGTATTCCTATCTTACTTGCCTGAAGCTGGGCAGTATTCTTGCATATTTGTGTATTTGAAATTAGTTATGGGATTTGGTGTTGTGCAAGTGGCAATATTTATTGCAATTGTTGGTGTTCTCAGTATTGCTGTGCAAGTGGTACTTGGATACCTAATGAAATCACTTGGTGCAAAGCATACAATAATGGTTGGACTCTTATTTGAGATGCTACAACTTATGTGGTACGGGTTTGGGAGCCGTACATGGATGATGTGGGCTGCAGGAGTGTTAGCAGCACTTGGATCTCTTACATATCCAGCAATAAGTGCCTATGTTTCTGTAAACAGTAGAGCTGATAGACAAGGAGTTGTACAAGGAATGGTCACAGGAGTGAGAGGCCTCTGCAATGGTTTGGGACCCGCCATGTTTGGAGTGATATTCTACTTGTTTCATGTAGATCTTAATGAAGAGCATGCCCTTGCAGGAATGGATGGCCGACCTGATGATGACAAGTACATTAGAATTGTTCCAGGGCCACCGTTTGTATTAGGTGCATTGCTGGTAATTTGTGCCCTTCTAGTTGCAGCGTTTTTACCGGAAGATAATGTAATTGCTGCACGACGCACTTCACCCGATTTGCGATTTGAAATTGAACATGGACGGCGCGTAGCAGGCCCTTTGTCACCTTTAATGGCTCCAGAGTCAGCGGCCCTCTAGCTAGCGGCTAAAGCTGGCAGAGCAGCCAGCGTGTGAACTTCAGGGCAGATCCCCGAGGCAATCAATGCATTTAGGAAGGTACCAAAGCAAACTCAGTGATCAATGTGAGTCTATTCAGTAACTACATGAGACCATTACCTTTGTTCTGCTTCTTAATGTTTTTTATTCTCTACCTGTTATCCATCATTTATATTAGTTTTCAATGGTGTGTACATATTATATATTCAAAATAAATCAATTTTGAGCATAACTAAACTTTAATGAGCAAATAACACAATAACTAATGAACTAACTTCAACCATATTTCCAGTACAACTTATTTTAGTGAATAATAAATTTAGAGCAAATACACAAAGGAAGTTAACTCTTTTAAGGTTTTTAGGAAAAAGGTAAAGCATTTCTATCTTAACATCAGTCATGTGTTTTTCCATAAACAGACATTTAAAAAAAACTATGTCTCATTCTGGTTGGACCATAATATTTAAGCCATACTATTTGATAATACAAACTTTGTTAATGCTGTTATTGTACATGGAAGTAAAAATCCTTTTTTCGCAAAAATGTATGTCAAGTCAAGTAAAAAATCATTAAAAATTTCTGTCTCACATTGATTAACATAAGCCACATGTCTTATATGATAGTATTCCTTTAACTTTTAAGAAATAAATGTGATTGGTTATATCATACTGTAATACATTGAATAGTTTACCTATTGCCAATATTCTATTAATATAATATCCATTCAGATAGCACCTAGACATAGTTAATGTCTTAAAATATAGAATGTTGAATTAGTTCAATAAATAACAGTATTTGTTTTTGATAGACTGAGTCACAATTCAATTATAAACTGTATGATGAAATCTGATGTGCATGCATTAAATTTTATGTATGTACTTTATTACTATATATTTATAGTATCCTATAAATCTTATCTTATATAGTCCTGCTAAGACTAGTAAGCTCAAGCATGAATTACTGAAATTTTGTCAACAAGCTAAAATCTTTAAAGTATATAAAAGAATTATATACATGAATTAAGTTATTTTTGCCACCGTGTAGGCGAACGATAGCCACAAAGATATCGCCATATGTTTGTTATCACGACACGTCACTAATCGTCAACTACATTCTAGGTGAAGCTAGATTTGTTAGATAGGTTTGATGAGAAATGGAGTGATTCGAGACATACATTTTCTGAACATTGACGTTTAAGGTTACAAAGGGGAAAAAATGTAGATCTTGAATAGAATGAAAACTTCTTGCAGAAGTTTGAATATAATCGGACGCGTCACTTGAATGATTTGTCAATTTTATTGCAAAGCTGTGCGCAATGCGCTATCAGGAAAACGTTTCGTTTTTATTATTTTATTGGGCTTAGCCGTTTCCACAATTATAGTAGATATAAAGAACAATACAGTAGTCTTACTTAAAATAATGTTAATTCATTCAATTTGTCTAAATAATTTAAGGCTTAACATTATTCTGTCCGCGCGATAAAATTTAGGGGAGAGAAATTCGTTTTATAACTGAAGTGAGTATTTTAGGAGGAAATATGAGTTTCAAGTAATAAAAGACTGTCATTGAATACTGGCAAGGTTACTCGTAATAATTAACTAATTTGTTTCGCTCCCACTCAAATAAAATTTCCATGCAAACCTACAATTTTTCATTCAGTTGATAATTGTTATCAGTAAAGCAGCCTACATTTGTGCGTGTCTGTCGCTGAACAAACACCTGAGGGCGGTTAATATTATCATTGTTCAAATGAATCGCGGTTTACATGAGGCAAATGATAATGAAAATCGATATTAATTCTACGTTGACGACAGTCTTTGCAATGATACATTCAAATAAGATTTTAATCTAAGAAAAGAAGTCTTTTAATGGCAGAATCTTCTTTTCTTAAAAAAGTTTAGGCACAGCACCCGTTTCATTTTTAAGAATAGATAGACTTTTCCAGGTACACGATTATATAATATACACCTTTTATATAATCGTGTACCTATTAATAATATTACACCTCGAAATTTTTCTTTAGTTTTTTTGAAGGTTAAAAATGGATACCACAGCATATGTTCGCTAAGTTCTGAACTATGTCTGCTGTAGACAAGTAAAATATCTAGAGAAAACAAAATATGACCTAGACGTGAAACAGCAAAAACGGCGAACGAACGATTACGTTTCATGGCTATTGAAAAGTTTTAGTATTCTACTGAATTTTACTTACAAAAAACAATTCACAATTAAGTTGTTAGCGAATTACGGTCAGCGGTGTAATAATAATTTAAAAAAAAGTTTTTCCCTTACAAGTTACTAACAATTCTCAGAACAATAAAGCCATATTATTAATAAAAAAGAGATTCTTATCCACCAATAAAAACAACAAATAATCAGACTGGAATTATAATGATTAAATGCGACCTGAGGCATACACATAAGTATAATATGTATGTGTGTGTACATTATCTTAAATTAATGGTCATAGAACGATTGCAGTACACTCAACAATCATCCATATACTATATCCGTGTCTTGCTTCGCTCTAATTTCAGACGTAAATCGAGACGTAAGTCATTGAATTCAAATATATTTCATTAAAGATGTATAGAATTAAAAATATCCAAACTTTATTTAATTAACTGTTATATAATAATACTTGGCATGTTTATTCCACAAAATATATTACTTAAATAATTGCTTGTAAGATTAGTCATCGCAAACTACTTGTATTTTCAATAGAGCCTGCAAATCTAATCAAACGTTGATATAATAAATACATATATCTTATCAGTTTTTGTCGCACAAGCACGTGGGATTACTAAATTATAATGAAAATGCAAGTTAATGATTCTCATTTGATTACTAAGTTGTTACTAGAGAATTGGGTTTGTAACGTAATTATAATAAAATATCCAAAAACAAGAACGGCTCATACGAAATAATTTTGCAGAAATTAAAACTGAATCTAAGTTTTAATAGTTGTATACTTGGTTTTCAGGTATCTCGATTAGTAGAATATTTTAACCAGTCGACTAGTCTTATAACATTAAACGTTGATCAAGTTAACCGAACAATTATACTTGCATCTAAAACCTCGTGATAGGTATTTGCGTAGGTGTTTCAAAACTCGGTACGCGTCAGCGAGTGACGTCATCGGGTAGAACAAAGGTTTTCACGATGGCAATACCACATTGCAATGAGAACTCTCTCCCACGACCGGCGAACAGTACGTGACTATCTTTAGTAGTCTGCTAATGTAGTAGATGACTTTACCATAGCCATTGTTGTATAAAGCTAATAGCAGAGAGAAGCGATCAATGAATATTTTGTATGCAGTTGTAACCGCTTAAAGATTATGTATTAACTATAATAAAACGAAATGGACGAATATGTCTGGTCCTTTAGAAACTTAACAGTGACCATCACTTAAATAAAATAATTACAAATTTAATTAATTATGATGCGAAATATTTTAAAGAAATATTATTATCATCATTGTTTAGTACAACCGTTTCATTCTATTGTCCTAGAATAAATGTTTGAAATAGCCTTGAAAAACGAGTTTATTTTTTATAAATATTCAAATTGTAGAATAAAACGTTACGATATAAAAACCTTAACCTGCATATCATCTTTATACGTGATTCAGATTCATTCCAAATACCAAGGCATCTCATAAAAATGGCTAGTCATGTAAAAACCGCGTATTATCGGCAACGTAGGCAATTCATACATTAAAGAAGTAATGAACAGAACCTACTTTAACTAGTAATATAATTTTTCTTTAAAATAGAATAGGAATTTTAAATTACAAAATTTCAGAGCTATTTTCAATGATTGACTCGAAAGGCACTACAACACTGAACTGACGTGTCGCGTACTTTAACGGCAACGTTTAATTTCAGCAAAAGTATATTTTTATTGTAATATGTACCAGGGTAAAGTCGAGTTTTCTGAAAATCTCATTTATTATTATTTCTTGTTTTTAAACATATTAACGCAGAAAATATTGTAATTGAAATGAAACCTTGAAAGCGTTGACCTCGAAAAGCAAGAGTTAAAGATATGGGGTGGTAAAAGTGAGATAAAACTACTTATTGTTATCAATGCTTTGTAAAATGGCAGAGTAGGCGTCTAGCAGACTTGTGTAGGCGCCTTTTATATTTGCCAGGGACCGTTATATTCCTCTTTTAATTCAATTGAAATAGTCTAGCTGTAAAATTCTTCTGAATCCATAATACAGATTCTACTAATGTGTGTATTGTATTAAGTGAAGTGAAACTTGTCTCAAAATGATAATCATTGCCCTTATCTAGGAGCGTTAGATTTTCTGTTGTATTCCTTAGTTATTGTGTGTGCTCGGATATAAGAGATAATTTAAGTTGTACATCGCTTAACTTAGTCAATTTTTGGGCCCTATACAAGAATTACATGATTAATGTTGCTGAAGAATTTATTTATCTTGTACGATTTACTAGTGGCAATTTCTATATGGTTTTGAATGTCGTTCTTTCTTAGGTTCTTTAAATTGGTTTTTTTTTTAAATTTAAATGTGAATAACCTTTAATATGCTGCACAGGCCAAAGCTCATGCTCATGCATATTTTTCTAATAATTGTTATATCGCCAAACTAAATTATATCCAGTAGATGTCTAAAGGCGATTTAGTGATTTGAATAGTGATTATTTTAATTTCAGAAAATATGTATATACATATATATAATACCGGTCCTACGCGATTTAAAGTGTTATCAGACGCCTAACGTTGAGGCCTTTTGGTACAAACCTTTTTTTTCCATATAAATAAGATTTACGTGTTGTAGACACGGCTAAATGAATATCTATTTTTCGCACTATTTAAGTTTTAAACATATTAAATAAATCTTTTTAATACTAATTAATAAGGCTGTAAATATACGAGTGTACAGTACTAATTAACCTAGATTGTTCCCTTTAGAGGGTAAGTGTTGAAATGTTCACATTTTATTTGTGTTGAAAGGACTCTAACGTGGCGGACCTAGGTTAGATAATAATATTATTAAGTAAAATTAAAAAATGTAGGTGCCTAAGCTAGTATTGTATTATAGTGAGACTACGTAGAAACTTCCAGGAATCATTGATGGCACGTAACAATACTCCGAAGTACGTCGACATTTGCCTGAACATTTGGTTTACGCAAATCCTAGTTACCTATTTATGAAAATATACCGCGTCCTTATTGTTCCGATGTGCATTCATAGAATTGTTAAGTGCGACTTGCCATCAATGAGGTGGAGCTAAAATATGCTGTATTTTTGTTAAAATTGTACCTAACATATCTTGCTAAACACCGGCTAGTTAGGCATCACGAGATCTCTGCTAGTGCTTTTCATTTTGTAAAATAGTCCAATTTAGTATTTATAGTGATAACATAGCAAGTATTAATGTAGAATAATTCGTAAGTGGACCGTGCGCTGCGGCGTCAATTAATGTTCATTGAAGCACAAATAAATGGTTTTGTCAACTGGTCTAACGATATTCAGCTAAATTGAATGCAACTTTCTGGGACCATGCTTAAATATTACTTTACGCAAGAAAATCTTAAGCACATTTAATATGTAAGTACCTATGATCATTTCATTACATATGTTTCTAGTACATTTTTATAATTATTGAACTTTAGCTAAAAAAAATATATTGCGTAATGAGTACAGTTTTATTATGTGACTAAAAATACATATTTTGTATTTGGAAGAACCGTTGTAGATTCAAGGCATAAGGAAGATATATAGATATATAAGATTTTTATGGAGATAAAAATTCCACGGAAAAACCTAAAAACCAGTCCTCAAAGCATTAGAATGAATATGTGATTTAGAACAATGTTAATAAATGTTTGCAATGTATGAAAAAAAACTAAACGAAGTATGTAGAAGTAAAAACTACCAAATATTTAGAAAAAAGATAGTTTTATTAAGTACTTGGACTTTATTCCGGAGAGTCTCAAAGGAGTAGCATAGCAAAATGTTCCATATGTTGGTACATAGCTACTAGTAAAAAAAATATATGAAGGCGAGACGAATTTCGCGAGAGCATCTAGTTTAAAATAGGTAATATTCAGAACCCTTCCAAAGATAGCGCATGTCATAATGCAGAATAAGAAATATCGATTTCGCACCAGTTGACGACACCATAGATAATGATCAATATTTTATATAGTCTTTTGCAATTTCACACTTCACATTGTAACCTGTATCGGTATTTGAATTGAGTGAGATATTTATTTTTTGTAATAGCAGGGCGAAAATTTTACATTTTATTAAATATGAGTACAAGCGTATTTCCGTATAAATGTGATATACCTAGTTTAAAGGAACTGTTTAACTGTGGCTCAACAAACAATTACCTATAACCTTTTAATAATTGTTGAGTAAATAATTCCATAGTTAAATATTTTTACTAATAGTCTTTAGTTTATTTATGTTATATATTAAGAAAAGTTGTTTTTTTTTAAATTGAAATATTTAAATAGCTGTAATAATATCAACGATTTTTTCTAATTATAAAAATATATACCCATCATAATCAACATGCAAGTGTTTCCTGTAATTATGATTAAGATTATACAGCTATTTAAATATTTATTTCATAATGTTTTTGTGTGACACGATATCCATAATGCTTCTATGTTGAGAATTAATAAATCTGAATGTAGTCAGGATGTGTTTTACTAGCTATTTTAAGCTTTGCCTTTAGTTAAATACTAAAATCTAATGGACACATTTTAGAATGATTGTTTTATAATTAATTTCCTTGTTGCTTATTATAATATTATGTATTTTTTGACTAACTGACTTTAATAATTTATATATAGACAAAAAGTTGTTAAATGTTTGGCTTTTTAGCTTAAACCGCTAAGCCGATATATATAGAACAGGTGGCAAACGGCCAATGGGTTGGAAGCACATCTGATGTTAAGTGACACCACCCAGGGAAACTCACGTCAAACAAGTCTTAAATAAAACGAATTATATAACTAAACCATTTAATTAAAGCACATATATTATTACACAATTTATATTCAATCTATATTTAGTATTAATATTAGCCTGATTAAGATCATAGTTACGATTCCATTTCCGTTCTAAAAAATTTTACTAATAACTGTATTTAAACACTGGTCTGTTTCAAAATATTGAAACTAAAACTACTACACTACCTATATTATATCGTACGAATAAAAGTATCCAACAGGAGTTTCAGTTGCGGCAAAATGAAATGAAACTTGCCAGAGTTTTGTTTTATTTTGCCGAGCATGTCTAAAGAGACATTTAAGTATTTACTTAGGATTTTCACAATAAACGTACCATAAGCCTATTGTGTATAGATTCGATTCCTTATTTTTAGTGATATGAAAGACGAAACAAATTTATATATATTTGTGGCTTTTGGCTTCGTTACCTGTATCAAATATTTAAGGCCACAAACTTATTTGACCCCTAAAGGTAAGTTTTTTAAAGCATTACAAATCGAGTGCCGTGTCTGAATTTAGCAAAAAAAATTTACGTTTCTCTTTTAATTTGAACACACACACCTGTAAAACAATTAGTGCTTCTAGCAACCATAACCAAACATTAGTGCTAGTTAACAAAAAAATTAATAAAAAAATATTATTTCTAAAAGCTAAATTAATATATTAATAGCTTAAGTCGAGCGAGTCGTGTTAACGTGTTGCGTTTAGATGGATTCGAACCCAGATAATTTTCGCAAGACGCTAATAATGGAGCGAAACATTTAAAATGTCAATTAAGATTCCGCATTTGCATCTGCAACTCGAAGCGTCGGTTCGTTCTCACACCCTTAATTATAGTTCTGTTCTCGTTTCGGCTGGCACTTCTCTTCTCTGCGAACGACTTTTCTCTCATTACAGTCTGTTTCGCTATCTCCTTCCGAGCCGTGCTGCCGTTGAGGGAAGGCAATTTAGCGTGTCTCTTCGAATCGTTCGGCGGTCCTTTTGGTTTAACGACAATTTTAGACGAATTCGCATTTGTTGTATTTAGAGATAGTTTCGAATATTCGGTCACTTTAGAGTCGGTCGTGAACGGGTTGACGTCAGATTTCATCCTGAAGCCGAATCTCGTGTATCCAGGGTTCACAGATAGTAATGTATGGTTCATCTCAGATTGTTTTCTCTCAGCCTTCGAATCTGAAATATGTATTGGGCCGTTAAGGCGCGAGCTTAGATACATAGCTACCGGAATTTATATCAAATTTTAGTTTGACTATTCTATATATTAACAGTTAAGGAAATAAAACAAAGTAGTACAAATTATAAAATACATTCATCTCGACGCTTCTACGTAAGCATAGAACTAAAAGTTTCAATGAATAAGAGGGATATACCATAGGAATAATACCATCTTCTACTTATCATTCTTCATGTGGACGTTTTGATTATTTCCAATCGCCGTCTGTCGTATTTTAGTATATCACCTGATATTAAATTAAAGCAGTTTTTCACTAGCTGAGCGCTAGTTCAATAACTAGGCTCACTGAGGCAATATAGGAGGTTTGGAAAACAAACAACTTTTAATCCGGTTTATTATAAAATTATGTATGTATGTCTAATTGAAGAGGATGAAATCACAGGTGAGCAACTAGTCAATGGTTTGACCTACCTCTGTCCTTGGTGGCAGCCGAAGTGCCGGCAGCCAACAGAAGAGCGCGACGAGCCTTGCGTTCCTGACACTCATCGAGAGACTCCATCTTATCGAATTGCTTCTGATGCAGGGCGGCGAAATTGGGCAGCTTCTTTCTAGCCACGCGGGCGATCTCGGATTTGGACTTGGCTGGGGTTAATTTTGTTGGAGTGTTTTGGATTTTTCCTAAAAGTTTACAAATATATAAAAAATACAAAGATCATTCATATGTATACAACATATAAGTTATATTAATAGTATAATTAAATAAATCCTTAATATATATATATAAATAGAAACATATGACATCATAATATCTCTGAAATGTTTCTATTTAAGATTTAAGAGGAGACTCATGCTGCCTGTTCCCTGATTAGTCAAACCAGCTTACTTGGAAACTCAACTGTATGGGCAGATTTGGTAATTTTAGTTAATATAGACCGTATACCTGAAGCACTTGAGGTCCTGGAGCGAGACACTCTGTTTGAAGACCCTTCACCTAATCTTTGCCGCTTGAAGTCTAGGCCATCCGAGCCACTGTGAGTGTATGACCTTTTGCGAACTGAGCTGACACGACACGGTTCTGAAAATAATAACTTCTGTGTTAATATAAACATTACATTTTATTGAATGAAGATTGTTTTAGTTAAATTTACTATGGTTACACTTACCTTGATCATTTAACACAAAACTTTTGTTTGATCCTTTCATACTAGATTTAATAACTTTGCCTTTTATTTGACTTGTTATCATCGGAGTATTGATGGGGCTACAGAACATAACTCTTGTGGCGTGTGGAAGCTCAGCAATAGATAACTTTCGAGTCTTTTCAATAGATCGTGTGTCATTAAAAACTGCCTTTTTGTATGAACTGCGCTTTGAGGAAGGGAATGGTGTCCGTCCCGGGGATGTACTTAACTCTTTTGGACATGTCAAACCTGTATGTGATTCTTTAGTAAAGGTCCCCTCGCGCTGCAGTGAAGTTGAAGGTGTTATCTGATCAGGTACACAGTCAGATGGTGGCGATTTTACTGTCTCCTTATTAGTGATATTTGGACTTTTATAAATAATTTTGGATTCATCCAGGCTACTCTCAACAATAACTGGAGTAATGTTATTAATGTTACCTCTTTCCGATTCATCACTTGTAATACTGATGCGTGACATTGATTTGTCATTAGTTATTAATGAATCAGAAGTTATTATTGATGATGAGACTTCTTCAGCTTTATCAAAAGTACTGTTCAAATTGGTACCTTCTTTATCAAAAGTACTGTTCAAATTGGTACCTTCTTTATCAAAAGTACTGTTCAAATTGGTACCTTCTTTATCAAAAGTACTGTTCAAATTGGTACCTTCTTTTTCAAAAGTTGTGTTTAATTTAATTTGAGTATCAATCTGTAGTAAATCTGCAGAATTAGATGTCCGAATGCTGTCTGATTCATGCAAATTAATATTATCAAATGTATAAGCTACCACATCCTTTTCAAATGTTACATTGTTTGTGCCATTTTGTACTGTATTTGAGTTTTCATTTGAATTTAATCTATTTCTTATTGGTGTATTAGGCGTATTGGAGGTTTTCTTTTTGGTAGGTTTATTAACAGTTGACTTAGTGACAGTAGGAATATTACTTGTATGTTTATCAAGAGTTGTTTGTTTTTCAAATGTAGAATCAACTGCTGGAGATTCATATTTTGAAATGCTTTTCTTCTGTAAGTCATTCTCATTTTGTTTCTTTTCTAGTTTATAGATCATTTCCAATAATGTATTATCATTTGAGTATCTGTTCCTTTGTAAACTGTTGTATTTACAGCCTTTTGTTGAATTTTCAATATTGTCATAATCTCTAAGGGATGAATTTTTCTTGTCTGCCTGGTCTTCCATTAAAGTTAATGGGTTTACGATATTATCTGTAGATAGGTCAGTAAATGTGGAATTTTTAAAACTTGATCTGCTTTTCTTATTACTTTCAAATAATATGTTGAAGGCAGATGCATTATGACTGTCCTCTTCTGTATTATAACAGTTTTCTTTTGGAACACATTTACTTTGAATTAACTTTTTATCATCATCTTTGCATAGAGTATTTCTATCTTGTCGCTTACTTTTATTAATACCTTTCTGAACTTTTTTCTGCTGACAATCAGTAGAGAATTCCATATTCTCTTTAATGAGAAATATGCTTTCAACAGATGGTTTTAAATTACATATGTTTTTTAACACAAGCTCCTCAGGGCTACCAACATTGCTGGCAGCAGCACTGTGGAAAGAATCAACAGAAATATTACCGTTGTTTACTGAATTATTATTTATGTTTTGATTATTTAAATCTTCTATGACAACCGAACCAGAGCTTGTTTTCTTTTTCATTACTTTAGCCTCAATTGCAGCCTTACTATCATTTTCTAGAGCAATACTTTTTACAATTTTCTTTTTCTTTGATTTCTTACTTGTTTTTTGTGATAAGTTATCATTTTCAACAGCTTTTTTCCGTCGGTTTATTTTGATAGGTTTCGCGATATCAACATCATTGACTGTTACTTCGCTTAGAGTATTTCTACGCGATTTACGGTTTCGGAGGGTCATTTGGCTGCTAGCATCATTGCTAATTTCTTCCTCAGACGGATATCGTAAAACATAATGTTTTTTCTTAGACACGGTTGTATCATTACAATTTTCTTTTTGTTTGTGCCTACGAGTTTTTCTTTCGATTTTTACATCTTGATTTAATTCTGATCCGGGTGAGTTATGAAGACCTAGAAAAAACAAAAGAAGTAATCATTTTTAAAATTAAAATGTAAATGTGTTTTAATGGGTGTGTAATGGGCTGTGTCATAAGAATAAAACTTACGCTTTCCAGACCGAGTGGACATTTTATGTTATTTTTACATGCACGATTATTTTATATCAGGACCAAATTAATGGTGATTTTGTATAAAAACATATCAAGTAGATGTAAATATAAAACACCGTAATAATTGTAATCCGTTGGCCGTTACGTTATTTGTTCAAAGTTTTTTTTTTTAATGGCTCTGGCACGATAAGTGCATTAGCCAGCGTCAAGTATAGAATTGTTCAAAGTTTAAACCAAATCAAAATTCAAATAGACATCATTCAAGCCACAGACGTAGTACAGTAGACGTATACTAGTTTTGAGTATAATATTATTTAAGTCTAAATTGTACTGTAGAAATACATACATATTATCACTTCGACTAGATGTCATAGTTAGTAATCTGTGGTAAAAACCCATATTTTAATTACAGAGCTTTAAGCTCTGAAATTAAAATAAGCATAAAATTTGAAACCGAAAAAGGGAAATAAACAATGATTGTGGTTTCATTCGTGAACGTTGACGTGTTTTACTAAACGTATTTTGAAACTAAAAACCTGTTGGATCAAGTGAATATCAACCAGTTGTTTTAGTACCCATAAGACCATTAATTACTATTAAGTTTTCGGTCTTGGTTAAAAGATTACTAATTTCGTTTATAATTAATGTTTCCTAAGATAATCCTACGTAACTTGTCTCTTGTTTTCATTCCTTTAGTAGTGTATTGTACTGGTGATATATTTATAAGATTTAGCCGAATTAAATAGCTTTTCTACTTATCCCCTTTTTTATGAGTAACTTATAGTATTCTCTAATACTTTAATGTGATAAACATAGTAATAGGATGTTAGTTCGTCTTAGGTTACTATCGGTAAAGCGTTACGAAAACAAAATCATAACCTCTGTTAAGATCGCACACTTAATTATACGCATAGTAAAACATGTAATAAATTGACATTAAAAATAATATATATGTAACTGTAACAACGTTTTAGACTTTTTATATAATAGTAATCTGTTATGCCTACATAGACTCATAATAATATGGAAACCTAAAAAAGGCTTTAACGTTTTTAAGTATTTTTTTCCGCATGAGATAATTCTTGGGATTCCGTTTATTTTGTAAGTAAAAGACAGCAGACTGTTTGTCTTTTAAATGTCTGTTTTAGGGATGGTCAACATTAGAAAAACATCGATGTCCTAATCAAAAGCCTAACATCGCTGTTCGATATTTATCGAAAACCATCCATTTTTGGATCTGTACACCATTCATGACAGATCTGCATCAGGAATTTTTCCAATGTATTATGTGACTCGGCTAACTCAAACTCCTAGAGTCACTAATGTCATGCGTCATAAAAGTGTATAGTGACACCAAGAAAACTCCTAGTCTGTATGGTATTTTAAGGATGATTGCTTCAGAGTTATTTGGTTGTGTTAAAATAAAACTCCCTAATTGTTTGTTCTTTTCAAAACGATGTACATTTATACCCAAAAATTATTCTACACTTACTAGTAGTAATAACATGTGGTGCCAAGATGCGCAGGGTGCGTAGGCGATAAAAACGCGGCGCGGCCAAAAGTTGACCCTTTAACCTTTCCTGCGCGCAGCCGTCGAAGCGTACGAACGTGTTCTTCTCAGAACACTTCGATATCGTAGCCTAAAGCTGCGTATAAATTAAGCGCGGCAGCCGCGCGAGCCAATGTTCGACCAGAGTTGACCTTCATTTGCCGCGCGAGCCAATATGAAGATGTAAATTTAGTTGGACGTGACTGCCGCGCGAGGCAGGCGATCGATCACAAACAGATCGCGGCAGATAGTCAGACCAGTTCACTCTTGTAAACCTGCGAGTATGGACGCGCGTGGTCGGGCGGCTGCCGCTTTCATTGTGATTCACCACCTTATTTGTAAAAAAAATAAAAGAAAAATAAATATAATTATTGTTCACGCGCACGGCACATGATCTGCACCGGCGGGAGTGGGGCGCGGGCGCCGCGGCTGCGACCGACCGGCAGTTACAATTACGGACGCACGGCGCGCGACACGAATAAGAATTTTATTTTAATACACATTTAAATCCAGTCCAGGTTTTGTTTGATTGCTGCAATTACAAATTCATCAGCCAATCCATCTCCCGGACAAAATTTGGCGACCGTGACAGGACACTCGGTCTGCATCCAAGGGCCGGTGAAGTCCAGAAGACCATAAGAATATATTCAGAAGATTCATAAGGAAGTAAGCCCGTTCCTTACCTAATCACTTCCCTTGCACCGATTTGCATCGATTTCAATCAGTGTTGAATAGTGTCGTGAGTCAACCTAAAAAGTGCGTTAATTACTTGTTTTAAAGTCTATTTTCCAAGTAAATAGTCGATTAAATTCCGAGTTACACGTATAGAATCATTCAACGGGTACTACGGAAATCTACCTACAAGTTTAAAAAAGTAAAACTAACGTTTAGTTCTACATTTAACTGCCCAAACTAGGGGTACAATATTTAACTGCCCAAACTAGGGGTACAATATTTACTATTTTCTTTGTCTTTACGTTTGCAATAAGTATTTTTGCGCGTTATAGATATTTAACTGCCCAAACTAGGGGTACAATATTTACTATTTCCTTTGTCTTTACGTTTGCATTAAGTAACTTTGCGCGTTATAGATATTTAACGGCCCAAACTAGGGGTCACAACTGTATATACATATACATATGTATACAGTACTATTTTCCTTTGAATTATAGTATAGCAAAATAGTGTTACATAAAGTAACGATCCTACGTAATTACCCAAACATAAAATCTTATTTTCTCCAATTGTTAAATAATAAATCTTTGAATTTAGAGTTCCGTAACTGTTAAACACTTATTATTTTCATTCGCTTTGCATGAAATTTGAATATTTTCAACTATAGCCTTTTCTTAGTTCACAAATTTCCCTATCACTTCACGCGCTTAAATACGCGCATCTATTGCACATCGCTTAGCCGAGTCGCCGAACATTCCAGGTTGGGCGCGATCATTCTCCGCTGCGCGCTTGTTGCTGCGCGAGACCTATACTCGCGGTCCGGCCGCTGTGCAGCGCTGGGTCTACCCGCTTCGCCTCAACGGATTTTGGTTTGATTGCACATTCTTGCCCACATCTTTTATATCATTTGCAAATTAATCATGGCTCAAAGTAAACTGTCGGACCGGGATGAACTGGCTTTGTTAGTTCGTAAACGTGGGACAATTAAAGCGCGATTAACCGTATTCAAAGATTTTTCTCGGGGTTATCGATCAAATTGAAATCGATAACATTACGTCAAAAAATATAAGTGATATTAATGTGAGACTAACCAAAATAAAGGAATTGTTTTCAGATTTTGAAAAGGTCCAATCTGAAATAGAAGAATTAGATTTAGAAAGTAATTTAGATAAACGGTTGAACGAGAGAATCGATATTGAAAGCCAGTTCTTCGCGGTCATGTCTAGTGCCCAGGAAATAGTGTCAAAACGAGATGAGCGAGTCGAGGCTGTCCAGCATAGACTTTCTCTTGTAAGTAATTCCAGTAATACCAATAATAATAGCCACTTAAACAATCAAATTCGATTGCCAACAATAAAATTACCAACTTTTGATGGAAACTACTTGAAATGGCTGGAATTTCGAGACACTTTCGACTCGCTCATCAATGCAAATGATACTTTACCTGACATTAGCAAATTTCATTACCTAAGGTCCTCTCTAGAGGGTGGTGCCGTTGTCACGATAAAATCTATTGAGTTTACGAGTGAAAATTACCTGGTTGCATGGGAACTACTGTGTAACAGATATAATAACAAAAACGTACTGATTAATAACCACCTCAAATCGTTATTCAGCCTTGAATCTTTAAATAGGAGTCGCATAGATCACTCAGGTACATTATAGATCATGTTTCAAAGAATTTGAGGGCTTTAAATACGCTTGGTGAGCACACTGATAAGTGGGATAGTCTCGTAATTTATATAGTAGTGCAAAAGCTAGATAGTGTAACTAGCATTAAGTGGGAAGAGTACAAATTGAACCTTGGTGGGTCGATAGAACTAGAAGATTTTTACCAATTTTTAAGACAACGTGCTGATATTTTAGAGACCGTCCAAGGCGGCTCTAGAGCAGTTCAGGTTAATAGAAATGAAAGGTTTGTTAGTAGTAAGGAACCAAGACACATTAAAACTTTTTTCTCATCTACGCCAAATGGATCATGTTTTATGTGTAATGAGAATCATCGTGTGTATAAATGTGATCAATTTAAGAATTTGAGTATCGAAGCCAGGGAAGCAGAAGTTTCCAAACGCAAGCTCTGCTCCAATTGTCTTCGTCCAGGGCATTCCACTTCCAACTGTCGTCTCAGCTCCTGCAGAGCCTGTAACAAAAAGCATAATAGTTTATTATGTCATAATAATAATAGTGTCAATAAAGTATTGCAAAACGAAAGTAACTTGAACTTACAAACTAACGAGGTAAAACAAAACACTAACCATGAAAAACAAAATTTGAATACTGTGGCTAGCACTAGCACTGTTCTGACCACACTTACCTCATACTCGAGTAACAGCGAAGTCCTCCTGGGCACTGCAGTGGTTGAAGTCGTCGTTGAGCGTGACAACAGTACTTACCTGGCACGCGTTCTTTTGGACTGTGGAAGTCAAAGTTCGTTTGTCACAGATAACCTGAAAAATAAACTTAAAATTAAAACTAATAGTACTAAGTCACGGTGTATAAGTGGACTGAACAATTCAATATCTACAGCCACTGAATATTGTACATTAAAATTAAAGTCAAGAATTAATGCCTACACTACGGATGTACATTGTATGATTATATCAAATATTTCAGAAAACTTACCTAGTGTAGAAATCGATCCCGAGGATTTAAACATACCCAACAATACTGCACTCGCCGATCCAAGCTTCCATAAAAGTAACAAAGTTGATATATTAATTGGGTCCGATGTAATGTGGAATATTGTAAAGGGAGGTTGCCAGATATCGTTAGGTGAAAATAAACCAAAGTTAATT